GTCCCAAGACCCAGAAGTGTCAGAGCCTCCAGTAGAAACTGGACTAAAATGCTCCGGTTCACCACAGGCCCTGTGGCTCAGGCTGAGGCCATGTCAGGTCTGCACGGGCCCAGAGCATGAGTCTGTGGGACAGGGAATGCTCCCACTTGAAGTGCCAGGCCAAGACACTCAAGAACCTATGAAATGGAACCAAATCCCCAAACTAATTTCCAACCGACTGCCCTGTCCTGGAGGACTGCTCGGCACATCTGCGATGTCACCTGTGCACAGGCTGAGCAAGGGGCCCAGAGAGTGGCGTGACGTCCCAGTGGAAGTGGCTTGGAGACCACTTCATCACAGGAGAAACTCTCCCGGATTCCAACGTTAACTCTCCATTCCATTTCCAACTGGAAAGTAAGTTTAGACTTGTTTTCCTCTCCTAGAAACAAAGAGAGTGGTAACATCAGCAGGAAACTCAAGACAGAGAAAGTCTCCTGGCCATCTGGAAGGATAGGCCGGTGAGGGAACAGAGACAGGGATCAGAAAGACCCGATTTCCAGTCCAAAGCCTGCACGTCACTCGATTTGACAGTTACCGTATTAATACAGGTGATAAAATCTAATTATGATTCTTGGGAAAACTAAATGAAATAACGTATGCCACTAGCATAGGTCTAAAATCCTCCATGAGTGTTCCAGAAATGGACGTGATCGTGGTTAGTTACTGTCTGCCAAGTCTTGGGTGCTAAGACCACATCAGCCAGCCAGAGATGTGATGGAGAATGCCTCACCAGCCAGCAGCCTTCTCCAACTTGGAAACTCATAGTATCTGAAGAACAGGCAGTGGTGGATGCTTTGGGACACTCTGGAGGTAGCACTCCAGTGATGACATTAAAAAGCTGTGGAGAATTTAGGGGACCATGCAGTTCAAATACAGAATACACATTCCATGTCTACCCACATTGATCTCTAGCTATGATGATTCAGAGAGGAAATACATATTCAAACTTACACCAATTTCCCACATAAGTGCATCAAAACTATTTGGAAAGAATGTAACTTTCTTTAGATCACAAAGCGGGGATTACAAGGTTTGTTCTAAGAGCCCTACTTGTAAAACATCTGCTAACATAACTGGGTCCACTATCAGTCATCAACATTCAAAGAGAAGGATGGAAAAGAACAAAGCCAAGCTAATATACTCCAGTCTTTTGTTGGGTTACGATGTCACAGAGGAGATGGACAAGTCATCAAGGAGCCACTCTGCCGTGATCACGGAGCCGGGGAACGGGATGGGCGGCAAGATGTATGACGCAGCTGCAGCTGTGCCCACGCTTCTAGGCAGGTACCCAAAGTCACCTCGACAAGGTGTCAAACGCTTGTGCCCACGTCATCATCACCTGACATGTATTAAAGAGAAATGAAAACCTATAAACAGCCAATACCCTTGGTGGGTACACTGTACAAAGAGAAATGTCACAGTTTGACAACTGACCATCTCAGTTCCCTGGGATTCATTCTTGGAAAACCTTAAAAACCACTCCTCTGTCCTCAAGAAGTGCTGCCTACTTGCCCTATGTTTGGCTCAGGGATACAGCACGTTCACATGGTCTTTAATGTCTGCACAGCTTTGACTGTCTTTCTCCAGGTTCACTTGTCCATTCTGAAGAGGCCTGAGTTAAGTCCATCCTCTGTAAGATCAATTCCCTCCTGTGACAAGTCATCGAGCCTGCAATTAAAAGCCAACTGAATAGGACTGTCCTCAGCTAAAAAGTTCACCCACCCTTCACTGCTTTCTTAATCTTCTCTCCTGGCTAATTGCAACAGACTAACAACTCCCTCCACCCAGCTCCCCAACTATGACAAACAGAAAGTAAGGTCCATCAAAGAGGAGACAACTCCATAGTCACCTCTGAATTCCTAGCTTATAGTAATGACAATAAATAGAACTATGATTATGGCTTCTTTCCTTTAAAACCTTTCTGGTTATTTAAATGAGACCTTGGAAGAGAGGTGTTTGGG